CCTTCAATCAGATAATGAAAATACTAAGGAAAACCACATTTAAGAAAAGGTGTTAAGTTTTTATGTTTCAAAAGTAAATTATTTTTTCAAAGCCACACTGAAATACCACCTCACAACCATTAGGATGGCTACTATCAAAAAAACAACAGAAAATAAGAAGTTTTAGCAGGAATGTGGAGAAATTGGAAGACACTTGTACTGTGCTGGTGAGAACATAAAATGTTATAGCAGCTGTGGAAAAACAGTAGGAAAGTTCCTCAAAAAACTAAAAATGGAATTACCATATGATCCAGCAATTCCACTTCTGGTTATATACCCAAAAGAATTGAAAGCAGGGTCTCAAAGAGATATTCATATGCCCGTGTTCATAGCAGCATTATTCACAATAGCCAAAAGGTGAAAGCAACCCTGGTGTCCAATGATCGATGAGTGAATAAAGAAAATGTGGTATATCCATACAAAGAAATATCATTTAGCCTTAAAAAGGAAGACAGTTCTGACACGTTACAACATGGATGAATCTTGAGGACACTCTGCTAAGCAAAATAAGCCAGTCACAAAAAGACAAATTCTCTACGATCCTCTTTATGTGAGGGTCCTAGAAGAGTTAAATTCATAGAGATGTAAAGTAGATCTGTGGTACCAGGGGCTGGGAAGAGAGGGAAATGGGAAGTTATTGTTTAACAGGTACAGAGTTTCAGTGTTGCAAGATGAAAGAGTTCTGGAGATGGATGGTGGTGATGGTTGCATTAAAAATAAATACTACTACTGAACCGTACACTGAAAATGGTTAGGATGGTAAGTTTTATTGTGCATGGTAAGTTTTATTGTGTATTTTACCACACGTAAAAATACTTGAAAAAAATAAATTATTTTAATTATATGACAGGGATCATGCTGTGGTCAGTGCTTCACACGACTGGAGACAGGCAGCACATCTCTAAGTTCTAGTGAAGACCCCAAAGCCTGTCCCCAGGCCACCACTGCCTCACAGGGGAAGAAGAGAAGCCCAGCTTTGTTGACCTGCAAGGCACCATCTGTTGTCTTTAGACAACAAAACCTTTTGGGTTTTGGTTCCTACGTTGCCAACCAGACCTCACAGCACTAGGACTGACGCATAAACCAGCAGAGCCACTGGTTTATGACTCATTCCCGTAGTGACGAAAATGGTGCTCACGGTCCTGCTTGCCCAAAAGCTCTAAGACTAAGGGGAGGGAGGAAGAGAAGTTAGAACTCGCTCCCTCCCCAACCCAAGTTCTGTGAGCTGAATATATTCTAAAGGGTCCAAATATTTACTTACTTGTTCAGAAAAAAAAGTTTAAAACTTTTGGTATATAAATAAATCTTGATAAAAGCACATTTAATACTACAGATAAGTTGTTATGCAGTTTTAGAGTTACAAAGTGCCTACCAGTCTGATGACTTACGGTTAACAATAACACCGGAAACCTAAGCAGTTCTAGGTCTCATAGAGTTGAAAAGCTGCCCACAGATAAGTGCAGGGGATATAATGATCAGATGTAAAGATCCTACAGCTTTGTGTTTAAAAAGCAGACTAGTCACTGAATCACACGTGCTTTTTTGCCCCTGTTTTCAGCAGAATGGAAAAAACCACCTGGTTTTTAGCATATGGAAAAACTTCAACACTTCGGAGATAAACAGCAATGACCAAAAACTGATTTAAAAATATTGTTCAGTAAAATTTTATTTCTAAACTAGACCAGCTGGACAGTTTCAAGTGGCTAAAAGTATATTTAGTGACCCTGGGCATTTCCTCCTTTCGTCTTATTTTCTAAAAGTTAGTGCTTTTTGTATCTTTAGTGTTGAGGACCTTGATTTATGAAATCATAAAAGCTTAGTAGCTTTACTAAAACATGGTAACTTTGTATCAAGCTTTCTCTTGGTTCCATATAAACTGGACAAAAAGTCTAAAATGTAAGATTTTAAAACTAAGCTATTAGCGGGTATGGACCATATTTTCTTATCCTCCAAAATAACCTGCACATAGGCAATGCTTCATGAACTTTGTCTAACTGAATTTATCAGCCTGTTACATTAAAATAAATACATTTATAATTACCTGAATAAATTCTCCCTCAGCATTCCAGTCTTCAATATGACATGTTTACAGGTTCAGCAAATTATAACTAATATATTTTGATATTCCTAATATAATGATTTAAGGCCTCTAAGGGGTACCCAAACAGTACCCCAAATACTTAATTCTTCTTATCATTTTGTAAAAACGTATGTTGGAAGAGAGGCATTTCCAAACATCTTCCAATTCTAGCTGTTGTACGACAGCAATGACCTTTAAAATTCACCTAACGTTTTAGAAGTCTCAGTAAAGTCAGGACACAACTCTAGGGAAATGATGCAGAAACCAAGGAATGAAGTGAAAATTTATACTCACCCTACACTTGAACTATGTCATGCTGGGAATTCGTAAGCAGAATATAATGAGCCTTTTCTAACAGACTCCTAGGACTGTGCTAGAGCTAGTCTTTAGGGCTGAATAACAAAGAAAGAGGATAGTATTGTCTAAAGTAGTGCTTTTCAGTCTTTAGCCATAAGAATTACTGGAGAACTTGCTAAAACTCAGATGGGCCGTGTCTCACTCCTCGAGATTCTGTTTCAGTAGGTCTGGGGTGCAGCCAGAGATTTTCCGTTTCTTACAAGCTTCCAAGTGATGTTAGAGTATAGACAAAACAACGTGCTATTGGGATTAATGTACCCCAAGATTTTTCACATTCTTTAGATTTCTGAGAAAAACAGAGAAGTAATTTAACCTAAAAACTAGAGAAGTAGAAATATTTTTGTTTTATAATAATGACAAAATAAGAAAATTTTATGAAGTATATGCAATGACATCTTTAAGGAGACCAAATGTGCCAGCTTTGTTTAGCAGGCCAAGGGGCCTGGCCCTAAAATGCATAGCTATACTCAGTTGGACAAAGATTTATGTGGAAATAACCATACGTGGCTGGAAGGGGAACCTGCCAGGTTTTCTAACATTCCGCTAACCCAGCCAAATCTGTCCTGGTTTCATAATTTGAGCTCGGAAAAGAGCCTGCAAAACCTTGACTGCCGTTGAACAGAATCAATACAGCATTCTTTGGAAAACATCTTGCTAAATTAATGCCAAATGCACCAGGGACACTACAAAGGCCTTGATCTGCTTTTGGAAAAATAAGGAGGACACAAAGAGTCAACAAAAACTGGACATATAGAGGAGACTCTCCAAGTAAGAAAAATGTTTGATTTTTTTTTTTTTAAAGGAAAATGGTTGTTTTTATTTAAAATTCCTGTGTAAGTGCTTGGCACAGTGAGGAAAGCAAGCGTAACTGCCCCTCCTCTCCACCCTGCAGTGACTCTGGCGTGGAGGAGAAAGACCGGCATAAGCACTGACACCACGCAGAGGGTAACGGGGCAGTAAGGGCTGCAAAGGCTATAGCAGAGTTTTCCACACTTCAGTCTTTTTTCTGTGTCCCCTTCATGATTTTTTTCCCTATCTATTCTCTTATTCATCTAATACTTTTGCTTTTTTAAAATTTCAAAATATTAAGGGGGTACAAAAGTTTCTGTTAACATGGATGCACTCTATAATGCTGAAGTTGATGCTGTTTTTGAGCTGAATCCAAAGACAGATCCTGATTTCTTCTGGCTCCACTTACACAGTTGGAGGTTGTTTTCAAGATACTCTTTTTTTTTCTCCTGAAATCACCAGCAAGCATTGAACACTGGGCTCAATCATATATAACAAGGCTCCCTCCAATTGCTATGTACATATGAGGTATATGCATATCCTGGTCAAAAATCAGTCTGTAACATGAAGTGAAGTAAAACAATAATGGTTCTATTTTCACTCACAGAAAACAAATTCTGTCATCGCTAAGTTGTGCTAGGAGGAGCCAAACAGAAAAGATACTCCCAGGTCATTACATACTCAAGTCAAACAGGTCAAACAATCGCTTTATTCAAAAGGGGGAATTTAAATGCAATAATGGCCGGGTGTGGTAGCTCGGGCCTAGAATCCTAGCACTTTGGGAGACCAACGTGGGAGGATTGCTAGAGGCCAGCAGTTTGAAACAAACCTGGGCAATACAGCAAGAATCTCATCTCTACAAAATATTAAAAAATTAGCTGAGTGTAGTGGTGGTGTGCACCTGTAGTCCCAGCTACTTGGGAGGCTGAAGGAGGAGGATTGCTTAACCCCAGGAGTCTGAGGTTGCAGTGAGCTATGATGACACCACTGCACTCTAGCCTAGGAGACAGAGTGAGACCCTGTCTCAAAATAAAATAAAATAATAAATAAATGCCAAAAACTTGCATAGTTAATGTACCAAATTAAATGAGTTTTGAATCTTAAAAAAGAGACCCTATACTAATGACTTCTAAAACAATTTGTTTTCCAAATATTCTTTTTTGTGCAACCAGATCTGTGCCATCAATTTGCTGGAATAATATGCTCTATTTTCTGTGGCAGATTAACAAAATTCCATCTAGCAGTCTCTTAGCAACTGCAGATGCTTTTAAAATCCTTTGGCTATACTCTTCATAATATAGGTCAATGGTCTCAAGTTTTTCAGAGTAGTGATGCTGAAGTCAATGTTGTATGAAGTGTAATCTAAATTTATTATGATTCATAGCCTCAATTCAGAGTTCTAGAAATTTTCAGTTGTTATAGTACCAAATTATGAAAGGTTAGCTCATCGTGAGAAATAATATGCGTAATGTTGGAGCAATGCTAGATTATACAATTTATCGTTAATAAGGACACACACAAAAGTAAGATGATTTTTCAGAGAGATGCCAATTTAAAGAATTAGCCGTAACCTTATTCAGTGCCAACATGTCAATTACTTTCTATAGGTATCTGTAATTGATTTAGACATTTGATTTCAAATGCTGTCATTGGTAAATTGCCCTTCTTCATTTGTATGCTTCAAAGTACAGTGAGGAGCTGTACAGTGGAGGTGGTTTCTCCTTTCATCACTTACCTAGGTTTTGCCACATGCTGAAAATTTCACAACCCATTGTTACCCGCATGTCACCATACCTGAAATAGAACAAGAAACCAAACCTGACACAAGCCTCCACACCAAAGAAGTATTTGTGTGTCTTTAGGATACACTCTATCGTTTTGACTTAAAGCTGTTTAATGTACATATCACAATGGCTCTAAATTAAACCATCATATAAATCTTTCAGTGAAACAGATTTGTCTCAAAATTTTTTGCTTACATAATAATTTTGAGCCCCGAAAGACTTGGGATAAAAAATATGCAAACAAGTTCAAAATATTGACATTTCCAAAAAAGATTGTTTCTTGTCCTCTTGGTTTTTGCTTCTCTACTGTGTGATTTCCAGTTACGGAAGTTCTGATTTATGAAACATTTGAACAAAACATCTTTTAAAAGGCAACATTTCCTACCCAATTATACACTGGTACTTACTTTTCTAACACCTTTTTCTTTTTGGAAGGTGTGAACATCTCCAACTGCAGACACAATTGGTTTATAAAAATGACTGCGAGGTAAAAGTAGGAATCCCAGATCTAAAACAAGAACAAGATATCTCAATAGGATGGTATTACACAAATAGTTACAGGTAAAGTGATATGGTATCTTGGATTTACTTCAAAAGTGGTAAGTAGATGAGGGTATAGTTGAAATAAGATTGGCCATGAGTTGATAATAGTTGAAGCTACATATGGGTACATGGGGACTTATTTTACTACTCTATTTTTATATATGCTTAAAATTTTCTATAACAAAAAAGTGAACTAAACAAATATTATCCATTTATACATCACTTCAAAGCTGCATCCCAGGTTTCATGAGTTTTTTGGTACAAGCTAAATGGTAGTAGATGTTTGGTTTCTCTTATAATGTGTCTGAGTATCTCCAAGGAGGCGGAGGTATAACATGGATTATTTTATTCCTGTGTAAATTCATTTCTAAAACTCCTTTTAATGTAGAACTTCAAAAATGCATACGCTTCTTCAAATATGCTAATTGCTTTAAATTCAGACATTACATAACAATTTCCTGCCCAGACAAATCTCTTGAGTCTAAGTTTTCTTATACCAAAAAGCAGAATCAGAAAGAGATCAGAGTATAAGTCCCCAAAATAAAACTTAGCAAAAAACATGTAGGGAAAAAGGAAGAAAAGTACTTCTCTACTGATACTGCGTTAAGTTAAAGACAAACTAGAAGAACTATGACAGAGAATTAATATCTGTTATATACAAAGAGGTCTTACAAATAAAAATAAATGTGATAAAACCCCAAACAAAATAATGAACAAAAGTCAAAACCAGATAATTCTGTTTCTGATATTTAAAAAATATGAATTTTTGTCAATAATGAGTAACTAGTGAATAACTAATAATTAGTAAGAAATACAAACTGAAGCAAAGTAGATATTCCCCCTTATCTAAATGTCAAAAAAAAGCAGTCTCTACCATGTTGGTGTAGATATAGGAAAATAGGTGATCAAATATAATTGGTACAACCTTTAACTCAATAATTCCACTAAAATAAATATTTATCCAAATAACTAATTAGGGATATATGCCAAGTTTTATTTTAGAAGAATGCACATAAAAAGAGTAATTTATAAGAATAAAATAGAGGAAAAGGCCGGGCGCTGTGGCTCACGCCTGTAATCCTAGCTCTTGGGAGGCCGTGGCGGGCGGATTGCTCGAGGTCAGGAGTTCAAAACCAGCCTGAGCAAGAGCGAGACCCCGTCTCTACTATAAATAGAAAGAAATTAATTGGCCAACTGATATATATATAAAAAAATTAGCCGGGCATGGTGGCGCATGCCTGTAGTCCCAGCTACCCGGGAGGCTGAGGCAGAAGGATCACTCGAGCCCAGGAGTTTGAGGTTGCTGTGAGCTAGGCTGACGCCACGGCACTCACTCTAGCCTGGACAACAAAGCGAGACTCTGTCTCAAAAAAAAAAAAAAAAAAAATAGAGGAAAAAACTTAAATATCAAAAATTAGAGCTCTGATTATAAAATTTTGATATATTGATTATTATAGATCATGATAGAGAAATATGATATAAGCATTAAAATTCCTCTGGTTTTTATCGTATTTGTGCTTTTTAATTTTCCATTATCCAATAAGGAAATTTTATAAAGTGTATCTTGATATAAAAAACATTATTCAAAAAATAATATGAAACAAAGATACTATAAACACAGAACCACCTTGAAGAAGGAAAGTCAAAAGAGGCACTGTTCATCTTTGCAATTTGAAAAATAATACATCAAGAATTCATAGGTACCCAACCATATCACATTATAGATACACAGAGAGTTCTGTCTTAAAGAATCTTACTAATCTTTCATTTTCTGCTTTTTATAAATTCATTTTAAAAAATGGAAAAGATAGAGGAATAAAGAACTAAAGGGTTTACTTTATAAATGTTTTCTTCATATAAACTCTTTTGAAAAAGACTTAAAAACATCATGCTCTAAGCTCCTTTGTCATATATAGAGATCATACAGAAAAAAAATTAGAATTAAAATTTACAACAATAATAAACAACTAATTCATTTTAAGCACTACGTTCATAAGCATTATTATAGCCCTAACCTGTTCACAAATATCATGAAAACATCACAGTTAAAAACAATATGGACTAATAAAATATGTTAGGTAATTTCCCAAAACACATGTGAATCTTTCAGCTTAAGCAGGATAGTCATCTAAATAGATTCTTACCTTATAATCAAAGTTTTCATTTAAGAAGTTCTTACGAAGTGCATCTGAGAGGTACAGAACTGTTGTAATAATAACACTAGCGATAAAAGAGAATTAGATTTAAGTTTAAAACTTCACAGTAGTGAAAATCATTTAGTATACAAGAATAAAAAGCAACTAAGATAAAAGAAAACCACCTTGGTAAGCAAGTGGAGCAATATTAGATAATTCATGTTTGAAATAAAAAAAAAGACAACAGGCCAGAAAAAAAAGAAAGTATGAAAGAAATCTATCACTGCAGTTAAGTTTCTTTAAAAATTGATACACAGAAAAATCGATGAATTCATAGGACTCAGACAAAAAACCCATTATTATCCTGATGTTTTGTAATGTTTTTATTAATTTCCAAACAAAGCAAAATTATTTAATACAAAGATAACATTCCATATTTGATTATCATGGAAGAAAGCCATGCTTTGTAAAAGCACAGGGAAAGAAATGGAGTCCAAAGATGAAATGGATGGGATAAAATGATAGAATACATTGAAAATATTTAGTACCCTTCTCTCTGTTCTCCCTTACTTAAGGTGTTAGAGCATATAAGAGCTACAGAAGGGAAGGCAGCTTCCCTTTCTCAAAGGGACAAGACTGCCACTAAATACACAATTACTGCCACTAAAGAAACTATAACTAAACTAAGCTGTGTGAAACTGACCGAGTGCTACAGCCATTCGGGGAAAGGGGCATCTTCAGGGCAGGAGAATGGGAGAAAGCCTGACAGAGGGGACACGTGTAGCCATACGTAGCTTGCTGGGGAGCATTCCTGCTTAGTTCTTAGAGTTCTGTCATTTGTTCAAAATCTGATCACTTTTACAAGCAGAAGAATGCATTTCAATTGGTTCATTTAATGTTAGATAAAGCATTATATTGAAGCAAGATAAGCCACCCCCTGAACTACTGGAAACTAAGGGCCAATGCATAAATGGTTGAAATTTAAAACCTCTCGGCCTTCTCTGAGATGCACGTGTAATGCAGTGATGGTGTGCGAAGGCCCCAGTTCTTACCGCAGGGTGTGCTACTAAAGGGTGTGGCTGGATGACCCTGGGTAAAACAAAACAAAACAAAACACTCCGCCAACTTCGCACCTTGGTCATCTTACTGCAAAATATAGATTAGAATAATATTTTCTAATTAGAAGAACATTTGTGGCCTTTGAAGGACATAAATGTTCATTGCTGTTGTTATCTGCTAGAAAATTCACTGTTACAGCCTTCTTGAACTCCTGACCTCAAGCAATCCTCCCGCCTCGGCCTCCCAGAGTGCTAGGACTGTTACAGCCTTCTTGGGGGGTAGAGAAGCATTAACACGGCCAAGCTGGATGGCTCAGTGTGGAAGTTCAAGGGAAAGAAAGGGAAAGAGAATGATAGCACCATTTCATGGGTATCTGCTCTATCATGCACAGGCACCGTGTCACATTTTATATACGTCATGGATACCTTTCAACAAATCTTACTATGAAAGTTTAGTATAAGAAAAACTTACGAGTTTGAGAAATCCTGTGGTTTCTTTAGCCCCCAAGATGGAAGATACCATCAGTGAATTTCATATCAAAGAGATAAATCACCACAAATAACAGTATAATGTGGTGATGTTTTATGGACAATGGCAAAAATCAATGACGATAACTGAAGAAATCATTGAGACCCCCGAAGTATTTTACTGAAGTTTTATGATATGAAACTAAAGCTTAATCATCAGAAAGTGAAATGCTATTAGGCAAGGAGGTAGTTTTTGCTTAGGATTAGTATAAGATCATTGGACTGCTAAGTTTACTGAAGAAAAATTTGTTTCCTTAACGTGTGGTTATAAGCACAAACCTGCTTTGACGTTAAAAGGAAAAATACATACAGTCTCACTACACCTGAATTTTACATAAAAAACCACCTGTGACCCATTAACTCCATCTCGGACTGTTGTTCAGACACAATAGCTCTAGTCTTAGTAAAAAATGACATATCTGGGATTTAGACTATTTATTGGGCTGCATGTCCTAGAAAGGAGCTAACAAACTCAATCTTCCAAGGGAGAGGGGGTTACTCCATGGCTAGGATTATGGAACGGTTGTTTATATGCTCAAACACCCAAACGATATTCATGGCTTCTTGAACTGCGTTTGCATGAACAACATGCAACCTCTGTGGCCTTACTACGGTGGGTTTCAACCTGGCCTGTGCCCTGGAATCACTTGGAAGCTTTTAGAATAGAGATGTCTTGATCATACCCCCAGAGATTCTAACGATTGGTCTGGGGTGCAACCTGAACATCAGGTTGTCAAAGCTCCCAGGTGATTCTTACATAAACCCGGCGCTGAGAACCACTGCTCTACACTAGAGCAATGCTGCTCAAACTTTAGTGGGTACCTGGTGATCTAGTTAAAATGCAGCATATGATTCAGCAAGCCAGGAGTGGGAGTGAATTGAGAGTCTGCATTTCTAACAAGCTTCAGGTGAAGCTAATGTGCTGTTGGTTTGCAACTCACCCTTTGAAGAGCAAGGCTCTAGAGTAGCCTCATTCAAAAAACCCAAAAAACAAAAAAACAAAACATTCCAGCAAATTCTGCTAGGCATTCTCCTTACTTGTGGAATTTTAGGCAGATTCTTATGGTTCCTTAATGGTGTGTGCAGTTCCTATTTCTAGACTGAACACCCTTATCAGAGCTGTTTTACCAGCAGGCACAAGGAGGCACAGGGCATAACGCCTACAAGCATTTCAGGGAATTTGGAAAATACTGAGACCTGAAAAACTGTATGGAACCAAATTAAAACCATAAAATAAAAACTAAAAAAATGATGACTTACATGTCCACAGAAAGTAACATGATGGATTTCATTAACTGCCCAATTTTTAATACAATTTTTTATGTTAAAAATTTTATAGGTTACTTTTTATAATTTCACCAAAATTTCTAAATACAGTATATATAAATGCTGAGAAATCACAGCCAATCAAAATTAAATGATTTATTCACAGGCCAATAATTTAAGAAGCAAAGGTAAAAATGCTTTTAATTATTTTCTGCAACAAAATGATATTGAATGTGGCACATTGGTCTATGCAATGCATGATACGAAGAGGGTAGGGTCTCCAAAATTAAGACAGATCAGGGCTAGAAAGCCCTTACTATGACTCTATTTCAAACGCTTTTCATTTATGCCTACAACACTCAGTCCAAGTCACACAGGCAGCTTCCAGAACGTTCTATGGTAACTCAGCACTGAGACATAGTTTCCTCCACTCAGGCCCCCAAGGCAACTAAAGGCATTTATACATTAAAGCTCCTTCATTGTAGCAGATACCTGTGGCATTTAGGGACCTCTCTTTACTTGTTCCAATTTATCCAAAGCCATGTGGCTTCTCTGATTTCATTCTTTTGCTTATGAAGCAATGTCTGAATATGGAGATATTTCAAATCTCAGGGCTCCAACTCAATAGCCAAGAAAGGTTTACAATCTGCTGACACAAATGGCCAAATTACTGATTTCTGCCACAGAAATGCAGGCACAGGATCACTTTTGACAACCATAATCTTATGGACATAGCATGATAAGATTTATACATAAAAGAGTAACCAGTGCGCAGGAAATCATAGTTACTGCCTCATGGTTTTCCAGTTGCTGCCTCATTGTTGGATTTATTCTTGGAATTATATTCAAGCAACCCTATCGCTCCCTCTCAGCCCTGGCTCAGAAACTTCATCACCTATAATTTGTTATTTGGAAAACTACTCCAACCTGATAATCTGCTCCGGCACAAGGTCATCTCCAAAAATCATACACGGACCGAGAGAAAGACTTCTGTAGATAAACTGGGTATCAGTAATGCTGATGTTTATATATTGAAAAACTAAGGAAACGTCAACCTGGAGGACAGCAACTTTCCTACAACCTGGTGGGTTAACTGGGGTGGGCAAAAATCATCACAACAACATTTAGGGCGGATGGAAATCCTGGACAACCATCAAAGGAATTTATCTAAACTTCCAGCCTGCAGGAGAATCGCCTGAAGGATGCATGAGACTCCAGGGCCTCCCCCCACCACCTGCGGCTTGGAAGGTTAGCTTGGGGGCTACCAGGTGATTCTGATGCCCCTGGTCGCCCTTTCTCATTTTGATGACTGGTGTTGCAGATAGAAGACAGATGAAGGCTGGAACTTAGAGAATAATGACATCTGGGGAATTTGGCCTCGTTTACCACTGTATCACCAAGGGCATAGCCTGTGTTTGTTACACGCCTGTTATCTCATAACTATATTGACTTCTATGCTTATACTTATTTGCCATGTTGGATAATTCTAAAATGTGAAACTTATAAAACTTTCAATAGGTTTTTATAGATAGTTTGAAGAACAGACTGAAATGAGACCAAGCCAATCCAAGTGGGGGGCACAGCGTCAGCTAAAGCAGGGAAACAAGAAAAGGAGTGATTTTTGCTTTCGGGCAAAGGAGAGGCAAAAAAAATGAAAAGGGATTTAAATGGAGTGATTTTGAAGACCCTCTCAACCAGTACTCCACCGGGCAGCACTGGGAGAAAATCACTTATGCAGCAATATCCTCTGTTTTGATCTATTAGGCTCAAATCCTAAGGCAGCCTTTCCTTCAAGTATCCATTCTCACTACCAAGTCATAACTCACAAGGAGGAGATGCGGTGTGCAAGGTATTCTGTGTAAATATTTGCTATAATTAAGTTTGGCATACTCATCATAGTCATATGCCGTTTTGATAAAAATCAGTATCTCATCTTTCCCTCAACAGTAAAATCCTTTAAGGATAACTGCCGTTAATAAAAACAAAAACAAAACAGAAGTAGCTGTGTCAGTGGATGCTCAAAAGCAGAGGTCCTCAAACTTTTTAAACAGGGGCCAGTTCACTGTCCCTCAGACAGTTGGAGAGTGCGCACTGTGGGCCCGGGACGAGTAGGCTGCTAAGCTGGACAGGCAGCTGTGGCAAAAACACCCTGAGGGCTGGATAAATGTGCTAAGTGGCCCTCATGTCACCCTCGGGGCGTAGTTTGAGGATGCCTGCTCAAAAGAGTAGCTACTCTACCACTCAACTCTTCAGGGTCTGAAAAGGCATCCTCTGCCTCTCTTCCTGTTATTATAGCTAAGCTGTCAATGCTCCTAGGTAAGGTGAAGCTTTTCTTGTGTGCATGAGATCAGTACTACTATAAATGTGAGAAGTTTCCTTCATTGAGAAGGTCTTGCCACAAAAACAATGTCAGCTGAACTAAACTGCATTCCCACATAGTTGATTTACTTTCAGGTGCAAGCTCATCATGGACAGGTAACAGATAGTTCTTGGACCGGCACACATGGCAATCTTGCACTCAATCTCATCCCTGCGTGCCTACCCAAGGACACTGTTCCTTCAATTATCCCTGTTTTCTTTACACCAATGTTTCTATCTTTTACTAATAGGGCCATTCCTATTAGTAAATCAATACGCTATAATATCCCATATTTTAAAAAGAATCCTAGTCCTCATATCTCCTTCCAGATGTAGCCCTATTTCTCTGCTCCTTTTTATAGCAAAACACTTCTTAAGGGCTGCCTATAATTACTGTCTTCAGTTTCTCAACTTCTATCCACTCTTGAATTCAGGCTTTCCTCTCCACTATTCCACTGAAACAACACTTGTCACGGTCATGAATATCTATCACGTTGCCAAGTCACAGGGCCAATTGTTGGTCCACATCATTGCCAGCCTCCCTGGGGCTCTAGATATTCCTTCCTTCTTGAAATACTTTCTTCACAGGATATTATACTCTGCTAGTTTCCATCTTTCATCACAGTCTCCTCCTTCTCAGTCTTCTTTCCTGGATGCTTCTCCACTTCCTCACCTTTAAAATGTTGATATGCCCCCAGTGCTCAGTCCTATGTTCTTTTCTCTTTTCAGTCTGCACTTTCTTTCCTGGTGTTCTCATTCAGTTCCATGGCTTCAAATCCTGCCAATATGCTAATAACCCTAAATGTCTTCAGACTTCTTCCCTGAAGTCCGTACAAGCAAGTCCAGCTTTCTCTTCTACCTCTCCACTTGGATATTTAATAGCATCTTGAATTTATGTTCAACACAAGTGAACATAAGTTCACTTCTCTTACCCTCAATGCTACTCTTCTCGCCATAGTTTCCAACTAAGTGAATGGCACCACAATTCATCCTTTTGTACAGGCCACAATTCTAAGAGCCATCTTCAATTACTGTTTTTCTATCCCACCCACATTCAGTTACCTGCAGGTCTTGTTATCCTTATCTGCAAAATCAATCTTCTCATGACCTTCACCGCTATCTACCTGCCCAAGCATCGGCATCCCTCACCTGGATGAGGCAGTAAGCTCCTAACTGGTTCTCTCTGGTTTCTCCTTTGTCTCTTTACCCATCGGTACCTGGGCCCTGTCTTACTACCCATCAGTCCTTCCCACATTTCAGCCACACTAACAGTCTCACTTCCTTGAGTGTGCTGTATTTATTCTGACCAGAGGGCCTTTGTATACGCTGTTCCTACTGACAGGAACATTCTTCCTTTGGTGTTTCCCTGCACTTCCTGCTTTAGCTTTCAGCTCAAGTTTTACTCTTTCATAAAAGACCCCTCATACTCCAGTCCTGAACAAAGCTCCTTTGATAAACACCCTCATAGACCTATGCTCTTTATCTTTACAGTTCTTATTTTATACATGAGGCACTGGAAAATATTTACCAAATAGATAGGTCAGTAAATGAATGGATGATCTCCCCTAAATGATTTAACAAATCACTTTGCTACACAGATCTCATGTGAAACTTATATAAGTTAATGTATGAGATGTTTGAGCCCAACATACACACACGATAAACAAAATAAAGACTTGAAATTTCAACTGAGGGGCCAGGGAGTTTTTACTTTCTTCAGTAGGCAAGTGTGTTAAAAGATTTATCTCCCTGAATATATGTATATAAAGCTGTGACTTTATTTTTGTACTTCATTTCACAATGTGTATGGGAAGGGGGTGGAGAGAAGCTTGTCTCAAAGTGTCCTATATTTTTGGTACTTACTTTTCATCTTCCTTATGTTTCTTCTTTCTTAGATTGAGCAGTTGTCCTCATTAGACACATCTACCAGGAACTTACAGTGGGCACAAGATAGCTTTGCAGCAAGCAAGAACAAGAAGGAATGTCTCTTGCCCTTGCAGAAATTGGAGTGGACCCACTTGCCATGTTACACAATATCAGGCATGCAGGTGGAAATAAATACAGAACCACACAAACCACCAGGTGTCTGGTCACAGATTTTGGCAGGATTTCACAGAAAGCAGGAAAGCTAGAAGATGTGGGACAACACAGCTTATGGATGAAAGTTAAAGGCATTTAATTTACTTGAAAACATAGGAAGAAAGGACCAACACATAAATGAACATTCATTTTCAGGGATGAGCAATTTAGTTGCATTCAAGAGCAAGGCCAATGGTGACTTCTCAGCTAGCTGCTATCAATCTGACATGTATTAACTACCCAGGTGGGCTAATAAAAGTGGGAGTTTGGGTTCAAATGCCTCTGAGAGGCCCTGATTAAATGTATATCTAAGAAAGTTAATACTACGGAAGAAGAGCTGGTCAACTTAAATGACACAGATCTAATTCCTACAACTTGCTTCTACACAGCTTAGCAAAGTGGGAACTTTTTCTTTCCAGCGCATGTTCTTTAACATACTTAAAATGCCTTTAACATCTTTCAGAGGCCTACTTTTCTACCAATATTATACAGGTTAATATTTATCACACATAAAACACAAATAGTTGAGCGCTTTTTTCTGGGCTATACACTGCATTTATAAAGCAAGGCAAATCTCATATGTTTTTGTAATATGAATGGGAAATGGCTAGGGACTACTAAGTAAGGGGAGGAGAGAGAAGGAGAGGTGAGTAGGCAAGTATATAGCAGCCAGCCTGCTCCAACTGGGCAGATGTCTCACCAGACCCTGGAGTTCTGTCCATGAATTAGGTTGGAGTCACAGCCACCAGCCACTGCCAGTGGAGTGGCAGTGCCAGACTCCTCTCAGCACTCACTTGGGTGGCAATGGAATGAAATCACTGAATTTAGCAAAGGCTGATGGCACTTTTCTTGGGTTTGCTATTGGAGTAACCTTCTGTTTAAATATATTACACAGCAGATGAAAATCTTGAACATTATGTATTTACTCCAAACCAGAACCTATACTTCTCAGTCTGTTATCCACTCTAGTGACCACAAAAATCTTTATAAGTGGAAAAAAAAATGGGGCAGAGAGAGAGAGATGGTATTTAATATCCAAAAGCCACCTTGTTGTCATGGTTTTCAGCAAGCTCAAGCAAAGACTGTGTATGTAAGTAACAAAATGTCAAAGTTACTTTCAGTTTGAATTTCTGCCACTGAAAAGTCCAATTCAATCCAAAATATCCCCTGCACATGAACAAATGTTGATGCTATGTGATGATGATGTCCACAGCCTGGACCCTTCCCATCTGGCTCCCTGGATCACTTCACAGCCCTCTCCAGGTACCCAGAATGTTTACTCTTCGGTAATAAGGCCAGATGCATGAGCGAAAGCTCCCACTTAAATCTGTAGCATGTAGCTATCCAAATGAATAGATATTTGATTCTACTCACAGATATCAAAGTAAATAAGCTAAGTTCTAAAGAGAGCTATTTCAGCAGTCTCAATTAGTCTTCAAAATGGAAAAGCTGCTTCTGTACTTATGTAAAATATGCCATATTATACTATTTGTTACTTCACAAAGTTTTTAACACATCATTTTAACACCTCTGAGTCTATAAATGCATACTGCAGCAGAAGCTGTACTGAGCATATCTAATCAAACTCAAATCCTATATTCTTGTGGCTCTCACCACCATCACACCTGGTCATCTAGGGAAGTCATGGGGTGACCTTGGCCAATGGATAGGTGCCTAGAGAATCCAACCTTCACCCTGAGCAGGAGGGTATTGGTGTTTGGAGAAGAAGAGGAAGGAAAAGTAGGCACGTATGGTCTTGGAAAGTGAGAATGCTAATGAAAGAGGGTAAATAAGTTTGGAAGTGAAGATCAGGCCAGTTTTCTAAAGAACTTCTTCATTCTGTGTCCTGAGACTATGGGGACAGGAAGCAGAAAAAACAGATACCTCCTTGACACTGTACTCCCCAGAATGGCCCTCGACATTCTGACTATCCTTAATATTCTTTCCTGGCTCCCATTCCTTCAAGTATTGCCCTCAGATCATTTTATTTTTTTACAGGATATGCTTAATATAAGCTAATTTTATCAACTTCCAGAGATTCAAATATCACCTCTACCTCAATAGTTTCCTAAATGTCTGTTTCCAGTTCTGAACTTTCCTCAGAGCACTATTTTCAATTCTTTCCTGGCCATACCACTTGGATGAATCAAAGGAACTTCAGTCTTCATGTGTCCAACCTAAGGGCCATGTCTTATTCCCGGTGCTCAGCACATGGTAGATGCTTGATGTATTTTGTTGAGATAAAAAGAATTAAGAAAGGTCAGAAATGACTCAAATGTCTAGCAACTAGGAACTGGTTAAATAAACTATGGTATACCCATTCTATGAAATATTATTCAGCTATAAAAGAAAAAAAGCATTAAAAAATGAGGGACTTCTATCTATTAATTTGGAAAGACTGCCAGTATTTCTGAGTGTAAGAGCAATGTACAGAACAGTGAACACATTATGCTGCCTGCTAGGCTCTTCATAAAAGAACACTGGAAGGATATGCAAGAGACAATAGTGGTTACTATAGTCTGGGGATAGAAGGTAGATGGGAATGGAAGTTCTCAGTGCATACTCTGCTATATTGTTTGATTTTTGAATGATGTTAACATATTCTAAACAAATAATAATTCAAAACAAATAGAAATAATTTTTTACAAAAGACAAGAGAAGTTAATTTGTAGGCAAAAAAAAAAAAATTTCAAACTTGAGATCAGATTAAAAAGATCATTTTGTACTCTCCTCTTCCTCTATACCATGATCTGGAAGTACCATCAACATAAATGTCTTACTTGTTAGCAACCAAGCGCATAACAGTCCAGTCCTTTGGAAACATCTCTGGGCGTATCAATATTCGGAACACAGTAAATATCTGCAGCAGGAAATCCTTGGATAAGGAGAAAGAGATCATTTTATGGATTAATTGTAATTGCCAGTAAACACACACACACAAACACACACACACACAGAGTAATGTTGTAACCATTTCCAAAGCAATCATAGAGAAGGAACCACACTTTAATAATTTACACAAGGAAAGGGATCATTACGCTTCCCATTCCCAGCACCCAAACCCACTGGCTTGCTACCCTTCCCAAATGTTTTCTCTTCTTTTTATTTGTCAGGTACAGTGGAAATGACTTTTCATTTCTCTTCTCAAATGCTAACAATTTAGATTCTGAAAATAAAAATGGAAAACTTGCAACAGGAGATTAGCAGGCAAATATAATCCCTTTCTTCTATTATAGTAACCTAAACAGCAGAACTTTTTAACTCAAGAGAACAATGAACAGCCCTGGTTCAGTTCTATTTTCCTTTAAGTGGGTATCAAACTTTAGAAAGTTATGTTTATAAAAAAGCATCTATTATAAAACCCTATGTTTCTTGGGGGCGGGGGGCGGTTCTTGAGATGCAGTAGTAATGGGATGTGTGCAGGTGGATAGAATGTGAGTGAATTTTCCTGAGCGTGTGATGCAGAATCAACTCAAATGGGGATGTGTGCTAACTTGAGCCAGTGTTGAGTGCTCAGTAGCTATGCGAGTGGCAAGTCCCTCACAGGGATGCTGCGCCACAGGGCAGCAGAGTAGCATTTACCACGCGATGTTATCTTTAAATGGATCACCTGAAAACACTCTTGACCAGAAGCTGGCCTCAGACATGGAAATGTCTTTTCTTTAAACATTATAAGAGACAGGAACAAAAATGCGAGAGCACATGATACTTAAAGGGGAGTTAAGGAGATAATGTACCACGTGTATTGAATGAAATAGAGCTTTCCCAACTTAAAAAGGGATTTGCTCAGCCTAGCTTTCATTTAGATTTATTAACTAGAAAACTTAAAAATAAAATGCAATCCAAAACACAAGGGTTTTGTTTATCAGACCCAACAACACATTATGTTAAACATGGAAGCTGCTTGAATATAAGATTATGGTTGTCATTCATATCAACAGAAGATAGATAGAATCTAAAAACTGAGAACCATGTGGCAGCTTCATTGTTTTTTTTTATATATATATTCTAACAGCTTCAATCAAGCCCATAAATATTTTGACAAGCATTTATTTTAGCATCTTCGGCATCAACACACATACGCTGACGTGTCGTGTATACACCATGTGGAAACATGCCCACCAGGTCGTCTGTCTCCCCATGGCTAGACAGATTGTGCCCATGGCTCTAGAATCACCAGAAGCGGTTTCCCAAATGCATTCCACTGCAGGTCAGGTAATTAGGGGAAACACTTCACCTTCTAGCTCTCTCTTGGGATAGCAGGTCATTAGCATACTAACACTGTCACAGGCCCTTTTTGATATGTTCCTAAAATTTATTTCAATGGTTTTTCAGTTGATTCTTTTGGGTTTCTCAGACACGAATACATATAATCCCTGCAAAAAAAATGATTTTTGCATTTATCTTTCAAAGAGTTGTACCCCACTTCAGTTTCTTGTTGCATTTGCTCAGATAGATATCAAAGAACAATCATGACAGTGGAGATTCATTTGTTTTTCATAGTCTACAATTAGGAATAGTTTAAATAAATTCTAAAATACTGACATTCCATCTTCTTGCCTCAAAATCTGTAACAATTAGAAATTGGAGGCAGCACCCTGAGTGGTGGTGTGCATGTCTATGTGTGTGGTGGGGGTTTTGCGGAGGCAGCACAATGATGTCAGTTGCATGGAGAAAAAATTGCCAGAAAGATTTAGCTACAGGAGGCAAGACATCTGTCTTAAGGGCTAGCAACTTCAGTTGTTCTTTCGTAGTGCTGAGGACAAGGAAAAGATTATTCCAAGTGTAGGAGTTGGGGATAGATAACCTGTTTCTGTGCTGTCTCATTTTCCTATTCCATTTCACAAAATAAAAGGCTGTGGCAGCATGTGGCCATGCTATATAATGACATAAATCTTTATTTCCCTTAAGAAACCTTTTCAGTGTCTTGAGTAGCTTTCTACAGTGTCCATTCAAGGTTCATTTACATTCATGAAACCAAACACATTCATTTGTGGAAACCTTATAAGAAAAATAAAAGAACAATATACTGAGAATCAGAAAACCTAGATTTTAATTCTGGCTCTGCAATTAACTAGCTTAAAGACCTTGACAATTTACTTAATCGCTCTAGAATGGAGCTCTTATACCTGGAAAATATGGGGACTTTAAGGTTTCTTATAGTTAGAGGAGTTTTAAAAAATCAATATGATCATTTACAGATTCAAAAGGCATCTTCAAATTTTTCTTATTTCTAAGTTGTAGGTTAATGTTTCATCATATCACATTGTGATAACACAGATATCTTCCATTTTGGTACTTCCATGTAATTTAGTTTAGCAAGTATTTGTCAACTGCCATGCAACAGGGTTTATTTCAAATTCAGTTGTAATATTTTAAAGCATTAAGACCTGAATGCTAGATTCTTTAACATCCCCTTCCCACCTACCCCAGATACAGTGGTATTTTCTTATCTGTCCTAAGTACTTTTCAGCTCTGGTCATTTCACTAAATATGTGCTTTTGCATAGATAGACATAATTATTTTGCACATTTAAATAAGTAACAGATTCCTTTTATAATTTAAAAAAGAACACTGTCATGCCTATAATATTCGTGCTTGGATAGCACACAGAAAATAGTGTTTCACATGCTACCGTTTTAAACCTGGCAGCCTGGGAGCAGTTTCTTTTTCTGTTTGTTTACTTCATATAGCCCAGCATAGTAACTTAACTGCATTATTCAAATCAGGGTTCAACATAAAAAAGAAACAGGGAGGTGCTACTTTATAGAAGTACTTTTCCTGTAGTGCAAAAGGTTCAAGTCAGAAAGTTCTTGTGAAAATCTTGCAAAACAATCAAAAGTCCTATATTCAAAGAAAAAGCAAAGCAGGAACAGTTGTTATGATTTTAGAAACTATCGAGAACATTGATTCATTTATAAATATTGGGTAATTTACTGTGTGCCAGGCACTGTGGGTGACATTAGATGATGGGGACACCCGGCTTACCAGGTAAGGCATATTCTTTTCTTTATTCATGCAACAAGTATGTAAGGTGTGTCTGGGACATGCTACACAATAGTAAAGAAGCTGAATGTGTTCTGTGCTTCCATGGAGCTCACAGCTTGGTAGGAGACATGAATGTTAATCTCATAAGCACACAGACGCATGCATGCTCCATAAACTGGACGACGTCTGAGGGTCAGGTATTCCACGCAGAGGGAAAAACACCTGCAGGCCACAGAGGCAAAAGAGAGCACAGGGTTGCCTGGACTGCAAGGGGTAGTGGCAAGACATGGTGCCGAAAGATAAAAGGAGATAAATAGAAGGTAAATAAACAGCGATAGATAAAAGGTAAACATCATAACTTTTCCATAGCAAGGAGTTTGGACATTTATCCTGAGTGTAATGTGGAGCCACTGAGTGGTTTTATGCAGGTATTTGAGAGGATCAAATTTATGTTTTAGAAAGATTTCCTAGCTGTGCCATATATAAAACTGTTCTGTGTTTATCCATGATACTATGATATCAAGAATGGCACAAACAGAAACTAGGTTTCTGGAACAGAATTGGTAAGACACAGAAAGAGGAACTCTTAGACCATGAAACATGAGTTAAGACATCCAGAAAATAAAGCAACATGAAGCAGGTAGACAGACGAGGACATTGTTTCCTTATATCAAGAACAATGAATAGGACAGAGCTTTCTAGAAACATAATTCCTTTACTTATGATTAGGCTATAGACAGATGTTATTTTTAAAATTTGCCACAAATTTCAAAAGTGTAATGCCCTTGATATGGGGTTTGAATTCAATTAAAGGGTGCTAATAATCATTATCACATTGAAATTTACATCCTTAAAACAGAATCTTCAAGTGTATTATACCAAATAACTCCCAAGTGATCTTCAATCTTTTAGAGCTATAGAACTATTTTTCTGTTGTAATTAATATATTCAAATACGGATAAGTCACAATAATTATAATGGAAAAGATGGCTTATTGAAGCAGACAAAAATATTAAGAGCATTAATTCATTCAACAAAGACTTAACCCTTTGCACTTGCTTTTTTCTTGATTCCTTTATTCTACTCGGGATTTAAGTTTTTAAATACCCCAGATTTTACAAAGCGCAGCAGTAGAATAAAAAACTGAGTTTCCTTTCATACAAACGTATTTATTTGGATTTTTTATATTTCAAATTATTGATATATTCAAAGAGCAATTTTAATCTCTATGATTTTTGCTAACCGTGTTGAGTCACACTCGACATCCGAGTGCAAAGGGTTAATGTTCCATGCTCTGTGCTTGGACACAAAGACATGGTCCCTACTCTCAAGGACCCCATAGTCTTCAAAAACACAAGGAAACAGCAAATAATTGCAGTGCATTATTGCATGCTATCAGAGAGGTGGGACTGTAAACTATGACCTGAGAGGGCTTCATCAAGAAAGTGATACCTGGGCTGGATTTTGTAGCATAAACTGTATGAAATCACAGAAGGAATTAATAGGAGTACATATTAGGCAATGGAAATGAGGTTGTAGTGGAATAGGCATTTCAGATAGAAAGAAAAAGGTGATTCAGAGGAATCAAAAATTATGTATAGGGTTTGTTAGGAACACACAAGTAGTTTCAAGTGGCTGGAGTGAAAGGTGTTCGGAAGGGGGTAGAGGATAATGAGGTTGGAAGGTAGACTGAGGACAGGCACATGACAGATTGGACTTTATCCTGTAGATAATGGAACATGCTCAGAGTTTTAAAGTTGGACTGAGGCTTGATCAAATAGGATTTCTGAAAGCTAGTGGGCCAGTATATGGCAGACAATGAAGAGTTATAATAGTGCTGTACTTAACTTCCAGAACATGGATAATCTTATGCTTACAGCAAGATTTCCACAGCTTTATGAAAAGTCATAATCAACAAAGAACAGAAGTCTCATGGCTTTACATATACATAAAATAGCAAGGACGTGGACAAAACTTTAGCCCCCGGTATAAGGTGGGTGTATAATAAAACATTACTGACTAGATGAGGCATAAAAAAAAAAAGCAATCACTACCTAGTATTTCTTTTGTTCATTTTAAAATAATTATATGTTCTAGAGAAGAAAAAATTAAACAATGCAGAGTTCCAGCCCTCAGGTCTTTGCTCCCACACACTTGTGTTCTGACACTGTGACTCACGCCATTCACACGTGAGTACCTGAGGACCAAGGAAAAGAAACGGCACACTTCAAAGAGCCAGAAGCCACTTCAACGTAACCCTAGAGGTACCCACGCTCCTCAAGCGTGGTGGAGTTAAAACACCATTAGTCACGGTAGATACTTGAGAACTAAATACTTGCAACATTCGTTTTGATTTAGAGAAACACTGGGAAATCCTAAAGTCTTTCTTTAAACTGATAAAAAGAAAGGACAAAGCATTGACGCTAGAAATAAGTAACAGCAACAATATTCATTTAAAAATCTCAATGTCAGTGTGTCAATATCAATTAAAATTTAAAATGTATATATCCTATGACCTAACAATGCTACTTCCAGGAATTTATTCTACAGCAATAAGGGCACAAGTCCATAGAGATACAACATCATGACGCTTATGGCAAGATCATTTCTAATGGGAAAAAATCAGAAACATCCTGAATGCCCATCAGAAGGGGAATGATTAAATTACATAGCATCCACATAATGAGATTCAGAAGAATGAGATTTGGGCTATATAATATCCATGAGATTATCATGTGGACAAAAGTACAGACCAATATGAATAGGGTTCCACTTAAAAAATGTCTATGTATGTATAGCATAAGAAACAGTTTATGAGGACACACCTCTAGATGTTAAGAGCTGTCACCTCTGGTGGTTAGGATATGTTGGTAGAGGGGAAACATACTTTATCACTTTTTAAAACAGTAGGGTTACATGGTGTTTTTGCTGTCTAATCCCAATATCAGTTATATTTTTCCATTAAACATCACTCTATTAAGTTGTACTTTGCCTTTTATTTAATTTCTAACTTAAATGTAGATATAAAAGCCCCAAATAACTCTCCCACTAATAATCTGGTCTTTCCAAAACATCTCCATTCTATGACTAGAACTATCTTATTATCTTCTAAGAGATGACAGATGAAATCTTATACAAGGTGATAACAAAGATTTTGGTTTAGGAAACTTTACTAAAGTTCAAGGAAAAGCTGAGTTTAGCTGCCTGAGCAAAGAGCTCAAGATGTTAACAGAATTCTCAGCTCTCCTGCGAGTTAGCACCTCTTTCCTGTATCTTCAGCTTCTCCCTGGCCACCAGCTCTAATCATTCATATTTAATGATGCTTAAGTCTTCTCCATCATAAATATTCCTCTGACATCCAGACTTACCCTTCAGTAGCTACCTTATCCTCTTCTTGAAACATTGCATACAGCTTTTTCCTTTTCTCATTCCTTAATCTATGACAGTTTGGCTTCTACCCTCATCACTAAAGTTGCTCATGAGGTTCACCAACAATATTAATAGAACCTTTCCTGATATTACTTGACTTTCTTGCAGTGGCAGACGCTGTTCACCCCTCCTTCCTCCTTAGTGCTTAGAAGTCTAGGCGGGTCCTTTTAACTTCATACTCTACACCAGGGGTTCTCAAACTTTTTAAACAGGGGGCCAGTTCACTGTCCCTCAGACCGTTGGAGGGTCGGACTATAGTTTAAAAAAAACTATGAACAAATTCCTGTGCACACTGCACATATCTTATTTTGAAGTAAAAAAACAAACGGGCAAACACACCCGCATGTGGCCTACAGGCCATAGTTTGAGGACGCCTGCTGTACACTCTCCTTGGAGGTTCATATCTATACTCATGATGTCAATTATTACTCATTGGCTGAGAGTTCTCAAATCTACATCCTGAACTTCAGACATTGTCTACTAAACATCTCCATTTGGATGTCCCTCAGATGACCAAGCTCAGGCTGAAACTGAAATTACCTTTGCTCCCAAACCTGTACACCTCCTCTTCCTCCTGGGTTCCCCATGCAGTGAATGGCACCAACATCCAGCCACTTGTCAGAGGGCCTAGGAATCATCTTCAACTCCTCCCTCTCCTTCACCTTTTTTATATCAAGTCATAAAGTCCTGCCAATTCAACTTCCTAAATGTCCCTAGACTCTAACACCATGATCACCTCTATTTCTGACTATTTCTAGTCATTTCCAGCTAAGATTACTGCATCAAATCCTTTACAGGGTTCTGCCTCCCATCTTGACCTCAGTGAATCCATTTTCAAGAGTGCAACTAGACGGGCCTTTCTTACCTCAAATATGATCATGTCTCTCCCTTCTTAAAGCCCTCCAGAGCTTCAAAATGTCCTCAAAATCAAATCCATACCCATTCACAGAGCCTTAGGTCCTACGACGTTCTTCCTCGAACTCTATATTCTATCAATCAACCAACAACTATTTCTTGAATGCTTATGATGTGCTAGGCATGTTCTGGGATCTGAGGATACAGCAGTGTACCAGGCAAAGCCTCAGACATCAAGTAGCTTATAATCTAGTAGCTGTGGGTTGGGGAATTCCCATAAACAAATAAACAAAAATATTCCAGATTCTAAAAAGTATTATAAAGGTAGGGTAGTGGGTATGCTATGTCAGTTAGTGCATTCAGCTGACATTTTAGTTGAGAGATCTGAAAGTCCCAGCCAAAGATATGTCTAGCACACTCCTACTAATCTCTCAGTTCTCAGGTCTTCCTGGGATCTCCTTTGAGTCTGGGTTGGCAGTAACTCCGAGATGCTCCATAGCACCGTGTGCCTACCCTGTAGAGTCACTACTCAGGGGGTCAGGCCCATGACTGTCTGACTCCTCCCTACAGGAAAAGGACACCCCATGCCTAGATGACATCCCCTGTGCCTGGCACACTGCTCGCCATGCTTGAGTTGCTCAATCTATATTTCCTGAATAACAGATTAAGTAATGAATATCACTAAATCACTCTCCTGGTCCGAAGGCCTAGCTAACTTTGAAGAGGGAAATATAATGGCCCTTTGAAAAGGTGTGTTGGCTAACTGGAATAAGGAAAGTCCACATAAAACACTCTATTCATTATTTCCATTTGCTTTATTATTGTTAATGTGAATATTAAAGCATAAAACACAAAACTAAGATTAAATTAGTTTTGTCTTTTAATTTATGTTTTTCTGGTATTTTTCAATTCCCAGTCTCTATGAAAATATGTTTTCTATGGGAAATTTTCAATATGCGGTCATAGACTTCTTGAGTAAAACTGTGCTAAAATACAATTTCTGATTAAAGCTAATAACTGCACAATTATCTTCCTTTTGACATTTTGGATTTCCATATCTAGAGTGGATAAGTCCTAAGGTCTTTTATCCATTTTTAATTCTAAACTCAAGATTGAATGTAAGAATGAAAAAGATGATACCATATGCCAATTGATTAATTGCTAGGTAGACTACATCTGCCCCCAAACAATTCATTGTTTCATAAGTCTCAGCTTGTCAACTGCTCCAAGGTAATAGAAAGATTCTTCTGAGATTATACGATATTTTCCAGGCAGTTAAAGTCAAGATAAGTGACCCCTATGCACTATCCATATTAAAAACCTACAAATCTTCCCCTAAGGCACTGTGAAGGCTTTCAATAGCAAACATTGCAGTGAAACTGTACTTATTGTTCTAGTAATACAATTCTCCATCACCCAGCATTTAAGCAACCTCTCCAATATGATGCTTTACATATGAAAGTTGTCTGGAAAACTGGAGATGAAACAGAAATAAGAACAGATGACAAATCGCTCCTCCAACTGAGAACAATCACGTCTATGCTACATGACACCATGAAGGAAGCATTATAGCTCCCCAAATCTCAGCAAATATTGGACTTTTAGAAACCTTTTAGCACCAATATTTTCTGTTTAATGTCAGCCTGTCAGACTAGCATAGCATATTGATTAGACTATGGATGATAGAGAGTATCAAATCCAACTCTCCTTTCTTAGTCATAGAGTTGCAGCCAGAACTTCTCACTATGGTTTTAAAGAGATGAAACTAGCTAATATATTTACATATTCTCCCTCATCTTTTATGTAGGCAATATTTCTAGGCTCACTTAACTAGAGTGAGTCTATTTGCTCTTTTCTCCTTAGTTCTGTTATTCTGTTTCTAGTTTATTTAACTTTGATGACAGGTATTTCAAATCCTATGTCTTATCCCAAATGAGAGCTAATAGCTTTGCTTGAGTAATAGAAACTTAAAAAAGCCAATATAGATGAGCAGATCTGTGGATTGAAGCTGAGAAAAAACAGTTTAGAACTGAATGGAAACAGGTAAAGCAACTGTCCAGGAACTATCTGAACAGTGATGAATAAGAACAAAAGAAATTAAAAAGATATATTAGAGAAAATTATTTAAAAAGTCACTTACCCTTAGATCTTCCTTTGTATTGAAACTATCAAGAAGCTGCTGATAATGTCTATCTGTCATTTGTCGTAATAGGGACAGGAGACAAGCAACAAACTCCCCCTAATTAAAAAAAAAAAAAGCATATTTTTAGTAAGGACATAAAAGAACATCAGTAACTCACTCTGAACTATCCTCAAAGAGAATACTTTAAAAGAAAATCACTATGATACAAACTCACCCTATGAAGTCTTCTTAATCTAAATTACCCAAAATATAACAGCTAAAATTTCTCCCTTTGATAATTACCATATACTAGGTATATATGCATTTTTAATTTTAGAAAGAATGTTTTTTTTTACTTGGGTGAAAGCTTTTCACTTGGGAACTAACTCCACATACTTAAAGGAGGTAAGGCATTGAGGCTCCTGATCATGTATGAAGCATTTAAAATACCTGCGTTCGTTATACCAATTAAGCTTCGTATCAACACTAAGAGGTAGAGGATGGATATAACACTTATTTAAAGAAGATAAAATGTAGATTCAGATGGGCTAAAAGACTTGCCCAAAGTCAGACAGCTAGAAAGGCTGGAGTTATCCCCAGATCTTTCTGACTCCAAAGTCCTTCCTGTAGCTTTGTGCTCCAGCTTTGAATTCCTGTGACCTCCAACTCATTGGACTACTGATCTGTGGACTCACAGGGTGTGGAGAAAGCCATGTATTGCATTACGTTGGTTTCAATCTTCTTTTAAAAAATAGTTTTAAATTAACGGCCATTCTTTTGTGCTTGGGCTTTATGTGATTTAATCCTATAAATTCCAAGTCTTAAGAAATTAACAACAACAAAAAAAGCATATATAGCATCCACAGACTTGAAGACCTATATAAAACTGCCATCACTTGCATTTTCCAGAGCACTTATAATTTAAAATATCTGTGTTTGCAGTGCAGCCTTTTTCGCTCAGCAAAGAATTTATCTACTTTTAAATAGAGTAATAACATTTAAAACAGAACAAGCACAACAGGAGAGGCAGTCAGTAGTAACTGTCTATTTACAGAAGTACAGTTTAATTGGGAATTGGTTTCTTAGACTTTACATGGAAAGAGACAATAGGCTCTAAAATTAGAGACCAAAAGCCCCGAGAAATGGGATTTTCCAATAGAGGCAGCTGGGTCGGGGCAGTCAGTTGTGTCCTCAGCAGCTGCCGTGGGAGGCCCGAGCATGCTACTTAATGGGCATGTCAGAGTAACCAGAGATTCACGCTGGCTCCTTGCATGTGGATAATCAATTACAACACACAGGTATGACAAAATAATTGTACCCTGTACACTTATTAAGGGCAAATATTCGAGAAACTAACCAGTATGGGCCAGTAGAAACAGCCTCCAAACTCAATATATTACTTTGTTAGTGAACAAGGGTACCCTTGATATTTAACACAAGAAAATAAAAAATTTAAAGGCAAAATTATTAATATTTTAGTGTGCATGTGTGGAAGGAAATAACCCAAGGCCAGGAAAAGAACTGTACATTCTAAACAAGAGTAATTTTAAACGAGTGTAATTTAAATTATAACTCAATAAAATTAAAAAAAAATTACACATTATGATAATACTATGGAATGGTACTATGTGTAAGTCTCCATACTTTTATTACATTACTGAGTTCATTAATTATTAGAGCCTTGTTGGGTAGATACTATAAACTTCACTTTATAGAAAAGATAATTATCTGTTAAGGTTCAGAAATTTACCCCAGGTTCCACAGCTAGTAAATGGTGAAGCCGGGATATGAACCCAGTTCTAGAGGTCTGTACTCAGTGGCTCTTCTTCCTTCTGCTCAGAATGGTTTGATTTTATAGAGGAAATGTACCTGAGATTTGGGGCTATAATTCAAATGTAAATAAGTATATTAGAATCTGTCAGTTGATAACCAATGTCCATACTTTTTTTTTTTGAGACAGAGTCTTGTTCTGTCATCCAAGCTAGAGTGCCATGGTGGCATCACAGCTCACTACAACTTCAAACTCCTGGACTCAAGCGATCCTCCTGCCTCAGCCTCCTCAGCAGCAGGGACTACAGGTGCACACCACCAAGCCTGGCTAATTTCTGTAGTTTTTGTAGAGACGGGCTCTCGCTTTTGCTCAGGCTGGTCTTGAACTCTTGACCTCAAGTGATCTTTCTGTGTAGGTCTCCCAGAGTGCTAGGATTATAGGCATGAGCCACTGCACCTGGCCCACTGTCCATCCTTTTTAGCTTTTCTATTATTTATGTCCTTACTTAAAAAATGAAAATCTACTTGGCAGAAACCCATTCATGTCTTTTTCATCTCTTAGTTTTTCCACATCCTACCTACATTGTCTTCAACATAGCTACTATATTAATTTTCCTAAGATATTTACTTCAACACATAATCATATGAATAGTGTAATAACTTGAAGTTGGTAGAATGACATATTATTTGTAAAAACATTTAGTAATAAGAATTATTTGATAATGAAAACTTTCATATTAAGTCTTTCCACTCAATGTATTAATACATAGGTGAACATCTCTTTGAATCCAAGTTAACTATTTGAATTTGTCATCTCTGACTTAGGCCCATTGCAATAATGTACCATCAGGCCATATAATCTCTTCAACCTTTATGACGTATTATCCATCCCAACATCCATCCTGCAATGTAATTTTATTTATCCACTTAATCTATTTAGGAACTCCAAGCATATTCAACCCCATTTGGAGGCCAATATTTTACTGATGTATTTTTTTTATTTATAATGTAATTTTCTTTTTTCTTAAGAAATTTAAGAATGTATCTATATGAAAATGCTAGACTCACAATTTGTTAAAAAGAATAAATAAAAAAACAACAATGGTCAAGATTTACTTAGCTGTTGTGTGAGAATTTCCTACACATAAACCATCTTTAAAACTCTGCAGTCTTCAGTGGCCATTTTTATGTACAGATTGAATATAAAGGGTACTTGTACCAATAACTGTGTGTAATAAGAGTTTTGGATGGCTACAACAGTCTTCGATACATCTTCTATTATACATATGCATTATTTTTTCCAGATATTTCTTACAGAATTCTCCAGGACCCATTTCCCTTCCCAACCACAAGCTGACAGTGCATGGAAACTTAGACAAGCATGCCAGAGTCTTTAGACATGGCCTATGCCCAGCTGAGTCACCTGCACTATAAATAGTACTTAGCAGAATTATGTACAAGGAAGCATTTATAAACTGTAAGGAATCCTGGAGCCCTATTAGTTGAGGGTGTGCAGCAAATGGCCATTTATGCTGCTTTATAAAATGTGCTTCTATGTACAATTAGATTTTCAAAGGAACTGATCACAATGGTGCTTTTTAAAATTTCTAGCTATAGAGAGCACTTTAAAGTTTAAATAAGAGTTGGTGGAAGAACAAAAAGTACAATCCTTCTAAATTTTAAAAATAAGGCCTCTGTTATCTGGAATTGTGATACACTGGAAGCCAGTCCCCACGCTGGCACTGCTGAGAGGCAGGGCAACAACCGTGGTACTTACACAACACTGGAAAAATCCATCACAACACACTGGTGGGATCTGCTTTTACTCACAGTGTGTCTGTTTAACATGGCACTTTTTCATATATGTGTCTGCAAAGACCGGAAAGGTGCTCAATGTAGGATCACCACATAAAGACTGCCTATTCCGAGAGCTCTTCTCTGTGAGAAAATGGTGAAGAAATTAGACAGACAGATCTTCAGTGCCCAGAGAGAACTGATTTTGTGAATGACCAGAGTATATTTCTCACCATGGAATTAGTTATAACAAACAACAATACAACTATCAATTCTGCATCAATAATGCTGTTACTGTGACTCCAGCTCCTACCACAATTACTGATGGCTAAAATTTACTGAGTATTAGACCAGCTATTGTTTACCACTTTTCCAGGTTTGATGAAATCTTCACACTAAGTATAATTATTTTCTCTGTTTTAAAGCAAACAAACAGAGGCCTAGGGACTAGTAACTTGACCGACATCACGTAGTCAATGAAGTGGCAGAGGAAGAATCACGCCAGGTCTCCTTGTGTACCCTAAAAACAATGTCCTAAATGTATAAAACCAAAGACGCCAAATAACTTAGGTGTGTTTCCTAGAAAATTTCACCCCACATACCTTGAGAGTTTGGTTTTTCATACAGCAAGGGGTCCCACAAAGATACAGAAGAAAGATTCTCTTTATGTGATTTTCCTAAAATTTAGTACACAGGACAATCGCCTAGCCTGCCCTACCCCCAAATCCACCCACGGACCTGACTCACTGCCTTCTTATTTTTTCAAGTCTCTTAATTTGCATTGATTATTACATTATAACCCATAGAGATTTTGTGCATGACAACACTGTACAGTCTGCATGCAGATACAAAGCAGTTTGAAAAATTGTTGTAGCTTTTGACCTCAGGCAGTCTTTAAACGTGTCCAGCATTTGCTATGATTTTGTTTTCTATGTCATTATAATTTTAGAATTATGTAAGAGTTATATTGCCAGGAAGCAGTTAAAATGTTACCATCAGAACCATAATAAAGGAGACCTCCCTCCTCTTCCAAGGTGAAAGGATAGATCTACTTCTCCCTATTCTTTTTGCTAAGTACAACTAAAAACCTGAATATTAAATATATAACAAACAGAAAAAGACTTTGAAAGGTCGTGAGAAAAAAGCAGATTGGCCAGGAAGCTTGGGGCCTGAGGAAGGACAGGGTGTTGAGTTCTCAGGGTTTTCTTTCTGCCTCGTATATCCCACACCTGCAGCTGAAGAAGCTGGCAACCATGAGACACCAACAGTTGTAGACAAGAGAGAAAAGGCCCCAACAAAATCTTATGTCTCTAGCCAAAGGACCAGGAAAGGGGCAACCTAGCAAGGAAATAATTTTAGCAACAATTGCTCCATTCTAGCTGAGCACCACAAAAAGCTTTGGCTTCCCCCACACCCAGGCCTGCAAAGGCCAAGTGGGGAGCCTAGAGGTCCACCTCCTGAGGAAGCAACGAGGTGCCCCAATATGTCTCCCAGAGAAGACCAAGTAGGGAGCAGGTGCTTTCACCCCAATGGTCAGTGTTAGTGAAGACAACTGCAGGAACCTGGACTTCCATCACCACTGGTCAGTAACAAGTCACACTTTTCCTTCCCCAGTGGGGTGGTATCAGAGGAGGCCTAGTAGAGAGTCACAGTGCTCATCACTGCCACAGTAACAAAGCCACTCCCACCATGGTGTCCTCACCCAGCAGAAGCAAGGAGCCCTCTTCCCTCGATGTCAATGGAGGCCAAATGGGACACCTAGAATTCTATCTCCATCTTACCATAACGAATAGGTACCCCAGTCCCCTGATGAGTGGTGTCACAAAAAACCAGCTAAAACAGAAAGTTTAAATAAGATCCAGACTCTTACAATACAAAAATGTCTAAATTTCAATGGAAAATCATTCATCATATATCAAAAACCAGGAACATTCCAAATTGAATGAAAAAAGACAATAAATAAATATCAACACTGAGATGGCAGAGATGTTGGAATTGTCTGACACATACAAAAATTAACTCAAAATGGTTAATGGATTTAAACGTAAAATGCAAAACTATAACATGTTTTTTTGGGGAAAAAAAACCACTAGGAGATAACCTTTAAAATACCGGGCTAAGCAAAAAGAGTTCTTAGACTTGACACCAAAAAGCATGATCTGTAAAAGGAAAAATTAATAAATTGGACTTCACCAAATTAAAAACGTTTGCTCTGCAAACCCTCTTAGGAGGATGAAAAAACAAGTTACAGAGTGGGAGGGAATACTGGCAAACCACATATTGAAAAAAGAACTGGTATCTAGGTTATATAAAGAACTCTCAAAACTTAATAGTAAAAAAGCAATCCAATTAAAAACTGGAGAAAAGACATGAAAAGACATTTCACTGAAGAGGCTATATAGATGGTAAAATGTGAAAAGATGTGCAGCATCACAAGCCATTAGGGAAATGCAAGTTAAAACCACAAGAAGATGTCACTACATGCCTAACAGAATGTGTCCTACTCCAAGAAAAGTGACACCACCAAGTGCTGATGAAGGTGCGAAGAAATTGGACCATTCATACATTGTACATACGGTATACATAGGAAAGCCACTATTTTCCATAGTGGCCATACCACTTTATATTCTTATATGTCCATAAATATATAGATATATATGCATCTAAACTACCAGATATATTATTTCTTAATATTTTAAATGAATCATGTTATATTAGGCTTGTAAAATAGTGGTGCTTGAAGGCACCTTAGAATTTACCAAGCCAAATCTTCTCATTTCATAGCCAAGGAAACAGGCCTAGGGAAGTTAAGATCCTGACTCATTATAGTGAAAAATTCAGAATTAAAACTCAGGGTCCCTGGCCCCCACGGCTCTGTTTCACTCTTCTCACTTCCTCAAGCAATGTGATAGATGAAAAGAGAATGAAAAATTAGCAACTTGACTGGGAATATAAATTAATGGATTAATTTAAACTGGGCAAAGTAAGAACTAATATCAAAGTTGACTTTTTGAAATTAAAAATTTCTTATTCCAAGATCCTTTAACAAACATTCTTCATATTCTAGTTTCCTCGTTAAATGAAGGTAACTGCACGTGAATTTGAAATATTCTTAGTTTACTCTCCCATGGCCAGACTGCCCAGTGCATTACGGCCAGCCACCCGCAAAGTGACTGAAGCTTTGCTCCGTGTGGCATCTGTTCCATGATCTTACAGTGACATCCTGGAACTGGAGCCGCATTGCTGAGCTGGACGGCTGCGGGCGGCTGGTGATCTCCAATATGGTTCTCAGCAGGATGTCCAGCAGGCTGGCCACTATCACGTCTATTTCCTCCAACACAGATTTTTCCTTAAGAGAAAAAAAATAACGTGTTCAGGAAATTGGGGCTTAATATGCATATTAATCTCTCTTTAATGGAAAAGGGGGAAAAGCCCATTTCCAAATACAGTATCAAAGAGTCAGAGTATTTGAGAACTTGAGAGACCTGGACCTCACCTAAGCAAATGACCTTTTACGGAAAACAAAGGCACGAAGACGTTAATGGCTTCCCCAAGAGTATGCAACTTGGCTGTGCAGTGGATACCTGAGATACAAATAAAAAGGTGGCTGATGTCATGGAAGGCACAGCAGACTCATTCAGGACATCAGCTATGAGCCTAACAGGGCATGTGATGTTAGGCAAGTCAGTTTGCCTCTCTGTGCCTGACTCCTCACTAAAAATCTGTCCTGGTTCATAAAGTCTGTAAGTCCTGGGTTCCAGAGGGTGCTTACGTTTACTCTTCTCATCACTAGAGTTGCACTGATCATTTTCCAAAACTCTATTTTAAGTGCAAATGGCTATTCCTACAAAACTCGTTTTGAAAGATACCTGCACATAAATATTAGGAAATGGAGTTCAGCCTAGGCAAATACCCTTAGCTAGAGTGACCTAAGGTCAGTAGCCATATAGGGACTGCTTTCCTGAAGCAAAGCTAATACTATCCAAGCTCCAGGACTGGAGAGAGAAACCCACATTGCTCTGCATTGACTGTATGTAGTATGCAGAGGATTTGGGTTCTTTTTATGCCTGCTCAAGAAAACCCTCTATGTACAAATGCTTCTAACCAAGGACATTGCTCTTTGCAAAGAATGCTTTTAAGAAAGTATGAGTTTGAAAGAGCCTTTGGCTAGAATTTTATGATAAATTTTCTTATACTTGTGAGAAAACTACCAAGGTTTCCCCCCTAGTGAATTGGCTTCTGCTCTGAATTCCTTATTAGCTAAATCCAAAAATTGATTCCAACTTCCAAATTGAAACAGACAAGGAGAAATTAAAAGAAATGTTCTCCACTACTGCTGATATGTTTTCAGTTTTGTGTAGTGAACTATCTCGCTTATTTTTTACTCTCAGCAATCATAATTTGGAAAAATATTCTAGGCATGGCATGACTATTCTTTACTGAATTAAACAGAGGGAATTTTAAAATTGAACCAATACCTTCTCTCTCTCACCACTGTTCTATTCAGTTCCAGATCACCCCTGGGGCCTGGATCACAGGGTGATAAAAGCCAACTGTCCCTTTCTGTGCAGGTTCCTCTCATTCCACTTTTAGATGCAGAGCTTCCAGTCTTTTCCACTCAAGTGCCAACTTGATTCATGCTTTGGGGGCCTTATCTCCAACACCTCCACTGGGGTCCCATCTCAGCTCACTGACCTTCAGAAGCTGACCATAACTAAGAGTGACAAAAAGGAAACCACAGCACAAGGGCAACAGGGAAGCCGAGAAATGGGAGTCTCAGTACTCACTGCCAAACTCTGCTTGGTAAAACCTGTTACCTATGAGCATAATGCTTAATTAACAGTTGTACATTGACCCAATTGCAACAGGATATTCTCCATATGTGGATTTTGGATTTCACATCAGACCCTGGAGCCATGAAGACAAACAGTCTGGAGTTGTCCCGTTTATAGGCAAGCATGCGATTTTCTCATTTTGCATTCCACTCTCCAGTGCTATTGCACTGCATCAAGAGTCAGGCACATGGACAGGAATCCCCAAAGCCATAACAATTTGGAGATCACTGTTGGGGCTGAGTAATGGCTGTACTGCAAGATACCCCTAATTTCCTGGTGCTATCCTTTGCTTCCGCGATTTCCACGGGACCCAGCCCAAGGGCCATGGCCAAGTTCTGAGCATCATGATGCAGCCTTTCACACAATGGGCCAAGAACGACTTCATTTTGCAAGCAGTAATTTATTCTTGCCACAGAGCATTCATCATATCAAGATTAAAGACAGATGTGGGAGGCTTTAAGATTTCTAATTTTTCTCACTCGGTATTCAGTTCTTCCTTGAAATGCAAGTTTAGGGAACCTAGGTTATTCAGGGTTATAGTAATCCCACAAGGTTAAAAAAATTCCTTCCAAGGAGAAGTAAAAAGTCCAGCCCAGTTGGAAATAAAAGTAGAGGCTCAGAGGGTTCCTCTTTAGGACGGTTCCTTTGTAGACATTCACAATTTTATTTCTGGCAGTCATTTGATGGGAACTACATACTATGACCTGTATTTACTTACTGAGCTGTTTTTCTTGATGAGACAAAATACGTTGCTAAGGATACGTGCACACATGATCAGGTCCTTCTGTTCTTGCAAGTGGATGTGGAGGTGATGTAACACGACAGGCAGGAGAATGTACCGGGAATCTGAAGAGAGGAGAGTCATTAGTGTCACATCTGCTGGAGTCCCACACACACATCGGGCAAATTGTTATCTACTTTTTAATCCAATTTTCATTATTAACACATGTAGTTACAAAAATACTAATTCTACAAGGTTTATATTGAAAACAGTAATTCCTTACCCCGGCCCATGATTTCAGGAGGCCTCTGACTCCTTTAGTTGAACTAGGTATCTTTTTCTTTTCAATTGTTTTCTAAAACTATAATTGACCATCAGTTTTTAAATTGCACGCCTCCTTTGTAACTTCCTGAATTTTCATTGAGACAGACCATCTACCGACTTCCTACTATGATAGATGAAGACTTAGTTTTGTTTTTGTTTTTTACCCCCCTTCCTTTCTCCCCAAGCCTTTCAAAACTATATCATAATTCCTGGCTAAATCAACATTATGGTTTTGCTGCCACTCTGATTTCCAACCCTTTGGACATAAATGAACTTTTGCTTTGTTTTGTTTTTCTCTCTCTGAAAGTTTCTGGGAAATTATCTTTATCCCTGGTAATTCTACATTTTATAATTATGTGCCTTGTCTTGACCCTTTCAGTCTATAAATGCATGTCCTTCAGTTCTGGGAACTTGTCTTGAATTGTTTCTAGGATTACTGCCTTCCCTCTATTTTTTCTGTCCTCAGTCTGGAACTTCAACTGCATTTACATCACAAATCTCTTGAACTATCTCTCAAATTTTTTTCCATCTTTGTGTCCAACTTTCTGGGTGATTTCTGTACTTTATCTTCCAATCCTTCTATTCAATTTTATCATCGATGCTTTCATATATTTTATTTACGAGAGTTTTCTCATTCCTAAGTACAGTGTCATGGGTGTGCAACCTGTGCAGTTACACAAGTCTCTGTGCTTAGAAGGGTCCCCAGGCTTGTTGTAATGTTCTGTGGCTGCCACCTTGAAATCCTTAATTTCAAAACAACAGGTCTTGCATTTTTGTTACATAGGCATCCGGTTTATTTCTCTGAATGTCATTTTTATTTTATTTTATTTTTCTGAGACAGTGTCACACTCTGTTGCCTGGGCTAGAGTACAATGGCGTCATCATACCTCACTATAGCCTTGAATTCCTGGGCTCAAGCAACCCTCTTGCCTCAGCTTCCTGAGTAGGTAAGACTACAGGTGCATGCCACCATGCCTGGCTAATTTTTTTTTTTTTTTTTAAGAGATGTGGTCTCACTATGTTGCTTAGGCTGGTCTCAAACTCCTGGCCTGAAACAATCATCCCATCTCAGCCTCCCAAAGTGCAAGGGTTACAGGCATGACCATGACATCCAACTTGAATGTTCTCTTTTCATAGCTTAACGTTCTTGTTTCATGGATACTCTTCTCTTTCTGGGGAAATGAGAGACAATTTTTTTTATGGTTTTTGTGTGTCCTGAATTATCTTTTTCTTTCAAGTTACTTTTTTCTGTTTCTTCATTTTATCTTCTGCCTTTCACATTAGAGTTTTTTCCTCCAGTATCTGGTGACCTTTCATTGTCCATTCATCTTTACAACTGAGGCACTAAGATACTAACTGGGGGAAAAAAATAACAAAACCTCTGTGTGCCTAGGCAAGCTCGTAAACTAGGGAAATATCATTGCAGAATGGGAGACACCCAGATATGCTATTGGGGAACCCCCATAGTCCAGTGCCTAAGATGTGCATCACTGCAGGAAGGAGGCACCCAGATGTTCCATCAAGGGACCCTTCCATAGTTCAGTATCTGAGATGTTTTCTCTTGGGCTGGTCAGTTTCTCTAGTGAGGAATCGCTACTCTCCTCTCTGGGGATCATGAACCCATCTTTAAGTGATTTGAAATCAAGAAAGGATGTGGCCGCCAAGGGTCTCTTTGTTTAACTGTAAGGTCTTGTTTATAGAATGAAGCTTTATCCCCAAATTTAGCTGTGTCTGACATGCCTGAATCTGTACCATATCTCATTCACTTTCTCTAGAGAGTAACTTGCAATTTTTTGACAAAATAAAAGAGGGGATTGGCACAGGGCAGGGTGCTAACCATTCCTTAGAAAGGTTTCTAAACCAACATTCATATGCATAGCACCCTTAATCTTCAGAGATGCCTCATAATTTCAATTCCAGGTCCTTTCTGGCACCTGCCCGAGGTTCTGTGGTATAAATTAGCCTGCCTCTTGGCTGAACTCTAACACCACACCCACCATGCCCATGTCTCAACTTTTCTCTTGTCCACCGAGTCAACTGCCACTCGTCTTTGTAAGAATTGCTGCTCTTTTGTCACATCTTTTCTTCTATTCTCTTAAACCTGTGAGATTATACCTTTTTAGAAAATTCCTTTACTAGCCACAGTACAATGACCCTTTTCAAAACTTTAGCAAATGAATTCTAACAATATATAAAGTCGATGTTTGATCACCGTTGATATCTGATTGGGTTCCTTGGCCTCCACCACACCCCAGGTGGTGTCTGATCACCTTGGCCTCTTGACAGTGAGAATCCTGTTAGGTCAGTTTAACCTGAATCTCCCTTACTCCTGATATTTCCTCTTAGTGGTTTCCTATCCACCCATGCCACTCTGTTTCTTGGCTATAAATTCCCACTTGCCCACTCTGTATTTGGAGTTTAACCCAATCTTTTCCCCCCGTTGCAAAATCCCATTGCAGTGGTCCCTACACCTATCACGACACCCTCACCTTGAGTAAAGTCTGCCTTCCCATCTTCAACAGAGTGTCACTGAATAACTTTTTAACAGGTTCCAAGGAAATTCAATAGAGAAATGATAATTTTTTTCAACAAATGTTGCTAGAACAATTGGCTACCCATATGTGAAAAACAAATGAACCCCTGCCCTTACTTCACACCAAATGCAAAAATTAGCTTGGGATGGATCATAGACTTAAATGTAAATGCTAAAAGTATAAAAGTTTTGGAAGAAAATATAGGAGAAAATTCTAGTGACCCTGAGTTAGAGATGTCTTAAACAAAAAGCACAAACTATTAAAAAGAAGTGATGAATTACATTTCACAAAAATTAAGAATTCTACTTGACTTGTACCACTGACTCTGCTTAAAGTCCCTATTTGATGCCTTCTTTCTATATATGGACCCAAGGATCATACTGCATAAATCAGAATTCCAGTTTGACCAAAGTCTAGCCAGTGTCTTTCCATCTGTAAAATGGGGACATCAACAGCCCCTCCTCCTGGGACTGTTTTAAGAACCATAAGAGCTAGCACCACCTGGAACACAGCGAGTGCTCTGTGTTGATTATTCTCCTTTCTTCCTCTTTCAACTTCTTCCTACATCCATCAGTAAAAGTGATTCTGTATCCTAATAAAAATCATAAGGAATGAAACAAAGCATCCACAACTGGCAAAGTGCCTTTATTAATGTATTCCTGATTTTTTTTTTTTATTGCCTTCTTGATTTCTTTTAGGAGTTAAGTTTGGAGTCTAATGTTTCTTTTGAAGCCTGCCACCAGGCTACCAACACAAGGAGGTCTGGCCTTAGGTTTACCATCAAAACAAACAAAATAAGGCAAATAAGGTATTCTATGTTTTAAGAAAACACAGAATATTAAAATCCCAACTTGTGAAATAATCCATTGCAGGCCTTCTTTAAACAGCAAGCCTCACCAGGGAACTTAAATACTTATTTACAAATCAATTACTTGACAAAAAGAACCAGGAAAAAAAACCCTGAAAACTTAAGTGCCAGTAATGTTTAATTAGAAAGGAAGATAAAGCTTATCTGATATGCTCCTGCAGCTAGGGGGATTTGATTTCCAAAATTTCAATTTGCAGCCAACTGTTAAGAAAATATCTAGTGCAAAAAAAGTAAGTAAGGTAGACAAATAATTCGTGTGTGGCATACATAAAAAGAAATATATGACCGCCTAGCCTGCAGATTTGCTTTTTCTCCATTACTAGGGCAATGTCAGCCAGTGCAAATGATGGAATTGGGGGGTACATGCCAAACAAGCTGACTGATTGAAATGCTAATTATTACCTTTAAAAGAAAACACCTGGACCCATCGAGCAAGCCCTCCTAAAAAAGCAAAAGCAAAACAATATCCCCCTCTCCCCAGGTTGAGCACACACTAACTTTCCATACACTTAACGATAGAGTCTGCCCTGTAGTTTCTGCCCTTGAAAATGTCCACATATTCATATTGCGTATCTCAGATAAAGCTCACTGTGTCGTGTGTCTCCTTGAGTGTATAAAGGAATGACTCCCAATGACTTTTTCCTTTGTCTGTGCACACGAGTGGATATAGCCAGCTCCCATTAGCAATTCCCAATGGGCATGGGACTAGGAAGGAGGAAGGGCAGCTAAGAAATGCTGCTAGATTTCCTTGTTTAGGTTAATTTTGAGGAAAGGCACACCTTTGCCTCCTCCATCACAAGCCTTGGACAAAGATCCTTGAAGTCAGCATCAGTCCAGAAAGGAGGGAGGTCTGTGAGTCGCATGGTGGCACACAAGGGTTGCCAGTCACCTTCCACACATTGGGCTCCAGCATGGGCTGGACATGAGTGGGACACCAAAGCAGCTGCTGCCTGGCAGCTTCTGGACGGGAGACCGTTGACAGCAGGGCAGGAGGACGTGCTGAGGCGAAGCTTTGCACGCAGCCGAGCTGCTGACTGCAGAAAGCCTGACATCAGAGCTGGGTCGGGCTGCTGTGATCAGAGCCACCAGGGACTGAACTGCCAAAGTCACAGACAGCCATAAAAACCTGTGAACAAGCTTTTCAGACACTGAAATACAGATGACAAGCACTCAGAGAGGAAAGGACTGAAGATTCAGGGGTCACATTCGCATGCACACATCAGGATCACAAGGGAAAAATGACAGTGGAAGGTTAAGGATGATCTGGGCATGTGGCTTACTGATCTCACCCCCTGGCTTCAATCCTACCCTGGACTCCTCCACCTCAGGATCCTTCCTAAAGATGGATGGATGTTCTGTGTAATTCTTACTTTTGTCAGCTGTGCCCTCTCCTGGATTG